GTCCCTATGAAAAAAAAGGGGGGGGAGGGGGTGTTGAAATTTACATTTGGGTAGGTTGCATTTTCCTAATGAAAAAACTGACATTAGGCAGCAGTAATCTTAGCAGTAATCTTCAAAAAAGCTGGTAGTCAAGTCAAGATTGGTTTACTACAAGGAGTAAATACAGCAATACCAAGAACAGTGCATATCTGTAAGGCTATTTGAAAGTGTGTTATGAAAAAGCACTAAAAGAAGTGGAAGAACAGAAGTAATGAAAAGTAGTGAACTTAATTTTGAATACATTCCGCGCCAGAGATAGCAAATGAGAGGAAACAAATCCTGAGGCAAGATTTGTTTTGTGTTAAGCATGGAGGCAACTGGAACACCAAGTGAAACAGTCCCAACACAAACAATGTGATATTATACAGGTGCCAAGTTATTATTTTGGAAGTGCCACTTCCATGGACAGGAGTAACACTGGCCATGTATGAGTGGCACATAAAGTGCCAAAACTAATACAGGAGTGAAATATTCATGAGTAGTAACAGAAGAGTTCTGGTAATGAATGAAGCAGAACATGTTTTCCATGTCTCAACAAATTCAACAAACAAGTTTCTCAAACAGCATTGTTTTCCAACACCAGAAATAAGTGAACAAAAAGAGAATGCGAAAACACATGTATTGTAGGAAGTCAGAGTAAGCATACCTGAAAAGATTAACAATCTAATTGCAACCCTTCATAAAAATAACTCCTGCCCCTTCTTCCAAAAAAACTATACCAATAAAGGAGACAAAATAGAATCTCTTAAAAACCTTCTTTTGCTACATCTGAAAAAGTACAGGTCAGTTAACCTGAAATGATGAAACAAGAAACTGACCCATATTCTTTCAATGGCATTCCTCACCTGCATAGCAGTTATATATTAACATTTTACAAATAGAAAGAAAACATTTTTTGTATGTAACGTAAGTTGCTCAATGGGACAGGATTATTAAAGACAAACTCCAAAGTATAAGATACCCACAAGACACAGATCTAGACAAACTGTCATGGTTTGCCAGTACAAGCGACTCCTGTACGACAGTAGACACCGATTGTTAACTTTAAAGCACCCTAAGACATTTGAGCAAATAGAGGATGATTACATATTAAGCAGTCTACATACAACTAATAAATATACCCACTATTCAGCCATAACAGTTTAGGTGGACATCAGCATGAAAGGATGTGTTTGCAGAGGAAAAGCTACAGTTTGGCTTAACAGAAGCCTTCTGTATTTTTTTGACTGCTAGTTTTGCATTTTATAGAATGGTTAATAAGCATACATATAAATAAATCTAAAAAATTGTATGTAGTATGTCTCAACACCCAATATGTACTCAAAGCATTATGTTCCAGATTACACAGAAACAGAGCAGGGCTCTGTCTTACAGTCATCCATTCGTGCGTGCAGTGAATCAGAGAATCATAGTTAGGGTTGGAAAGGACCTTAAGATCATCAAGTTCCAACCCCCCTGCTATGGGCATGACACCTCACACTAAACCATGCCACCCAAGGCCTTGTCCAACCTGGTCCTGAACACTGCCAGGGATGGAGCATTCACAATTTCCCTGGGCAACCAATTCCAGCACCTCACCACTCTCACAGTAAAGAACTTCTTCCTTATACCCAATGTAAATTTCCCCTGTTTGAGTTTAAACCCATTACCCCTTGGTCCTATCATTACAGTCCCTAATGAAGAGTCCCTCCCCAGCATCCTTGTAGGCCCCCTTCAGATACTGGAAGTCTGCTATGAGGTATCCATGCAGCTTTCTCTTCTCCAGGCTCAACAGCTGCAACTTTCTCAGCCTATCTTCATGGAGATGCTCCAGTCCCCTGATTATTCTCATGACTCTCCTCTGGACTTGTTCCAACAGATCCATGTCCTTTTTATGTTGAGGACACCAGAACTGCAATCAGACTCCAAGTGGGGATTCTGTAGAGGGGCAGGATCACCTCCTTTGACCTGCTGGTCACACGCCTTTTGATGCACCCAGGATACAGCTGGTTTCTGGGCTGCAAGTGCACACTGAAGCCAGCTCATGTTCAGTTTCTCATTGACCAACACCCCCAAGTCCTTCTCCACAGGGCTGCTCTGAATCTCTTCTCTGCCCAGCCTGTAGCTGTGCCTGGGATTGCCTCGACCCAGGTGTAGGCCCTTGCAGTTGTCATGGTTAAACTTCATGAGGGTGGCATCAGCCCACCTCACAAGCGTGTCAAGGTCCCTCTGGATGGCATTTCTTTCCTCCAGTGTATCAACTGACCCACACAGCTTGGTGTCATTGGCAAACTTGCTGAAGGCGCACTCCATATCACTGTCCATGTCCAAGACAAAGATGATGAATAAGACCGGTCCCGACACTGATCCCTGAGGGGCACCACTCTTTACTTGTCTCCAGCTGGACATTGGGCCATTGACCACAACTCTTTGTGTGCGGCCATCCAGCCAGTTCTTTATCCACCGAGTGGTCCACCTATCAAATTGATGTCTCTCCAATTTAGAGACAAGGATGTCATGTGGGACAGTGTCGAACGCTTTGCATAAATCCAGGTAGATGACATCAACTGCTCTACCCCTGTCCATCAGTTCTGTAGCCCCATTATAGAAGGCCACCACATTGGTCAGGCAGGATTTCCCCTTAGTGAAGCCATGCCACTAACCACCTCATCGTTTTTCACATGCCTTAGCATGCTTTCAGTACATCCAGTGTCATTACTAATGAAGCAAGGACACTGGAAAATCCTAACAAAAGTCTTGTGAAAAATAAATATATATATTAAAAAAGGTAAAAAATTTCAGATTAAAACAACATGTAGCCCATTTAGAGATACTGTAAACCCTTCTGCTTCATGCCAAAGGAGATGGCACATAGTGGTTAAAAAAAAATATGCCAGAAAAACTGAGTAGTACCAGCTGTTAAGCAAGAACGCATTTTATAGTGTACTGAATTTTCATCCATCCCCAGAAAATAAGGGAGAGGCAGACTGAGTAAAGTATTTCAGGATTCTGTATTTTACTGAATTTTATAGATCTCCTGGGGACTTCAGAAAAATTCTACTTTTAAATAAACTGACAATTAGATGATTGACAAGAGACCAAAAGTTGGTCACAAGAGAGGTTCAGAGAATCACTGTTACTGAAAAACTGGGGAGGCTGAGGGTAAGTCTTCATAACATGTTTATTCACTAGTATGTGTTTCTGAAGGAGTGATTTGAAACACGGCAAAGCAAAGTTTTGCCTGAAAAATATGTAAGCAACTTGTCTGTGATGTGAAATTGTAGAAATGGACTGAGGCAGAAACAGGTCATAAGCCTTTGGAAAACTTGTTATACAAGTAATTGTGCAAGCACTATCTAGAAGTCCATTGTGTCCTTGCACATTGCAAAACATGGTCCTTTGAGGAATGTCCAGTAATCAAGTTCAAGAGCATGAATTCATAATAAATAAATCAAAGACTTACATAAAGAGGAATGTGAAGTAAATATTAGCTGCATGCTATCTTGACTCTAAAATTCTGGAAGGTACAAACAAGGTAACACAAAGTAGCCCTACTGCACATTAGCATAAAGAAACATTATCTTATGGTTGGCAAAGATAAAGAACCGTGTCACCTCTGTGCAGGATGTGGAACTGTAAACTGGAACTGCTGCATACAGCTAGATTGCCTAGAAGGGACAGAAAGCCACCGGCCCCAGTACAACAGGAGATTGGCAAAAATTAAGCTAATCCAAAATACCCAACTAAGTACAGGAAAGGGTCTTGGCACAATCTCTGTGAAATCTGAAATCAGTACAGGAAACAAAGTACAAGTGATCATCAATCCTCAATCCCTCCTTCATTTTTGTATACGAAAAGTGCCTTTGGATCAACGGTGACAATTACTTTTCTTTTTTTTTTTTTTTCCCTTCCCCACAGCAGACAGACATAAACTCTGCTGCCTTTTCTCCTCACTTTCCCATCTTCTTCCTCCACCCCAACCTGTGTATATGATGTAAACAAATAATAAAGAAACGAACATACTTCTAGCCCTTTTGTCATCTGTTCCAGGAGTTTCTCTGTGCAACTTCTTAACAACTGGGCTAGTTTGCAGGTGTTTAGATTGGTCAATATTCTGTTATTTGCATCACAGTTCATGTTCTGCCTGTGGTGTGAGGGTTGATTTTTTTTGTCCTTTTAACCACAAAGATGGAACTGTGTCAGCTGCATCTTTGTGGAGCCAATGACCCAATCTTCTGATAATCTTTCAACGCATGATGCATGATGATGCCAATAGTCTAGGGCTATGGAATAAAGCTGAGGAAATTCTGACTCCTGCACTTTTTAATGAAAGTCAAAGGTGCAACACTTTGAGATGACCTGTCCTGTATGACAAATCACCCTCCCAGTTCTGTTTAGCAGAAGCATGTCTATTTGTCTTGCAATAGAGAGTTGCAAGACAAATTTCCATGTACGATAATGGAATCATGCCATTCTCAGTCTGCTGCACACAGACCTGACCCCCAAAGTTTGCAGTGTTTGGTTTTAACATGAAAGCTAGAGTAAGATTACCAAAACCAAGGTGTAATCCACAATCCTTTCCCCAGTCACCTAAAGCACTAACATAAAAACAAACATAGTGGAGCAAAGCTCACCACCAATCTGTTGAGACACCAATGGTACAAGCGGACTGATAAAATTATTTTGGAAACAAGCCAAAACAGTAACAACAACAAAAAAATCCATGTTCATATGGAAGAAAATAGAAAAATTAAGTTCTTGAAGTACTCATCACCGTCTTAAATTCTTGTCCTTCCAAAAACATTATCCAAACTGCCACTCATTGCAACAGGTGAGTAGGCTGGCCGATACTGACTTGACTTTGGAAAGCTTACCCAATTTCAGCGACAAAACACGTGGTTGAAATCAGCATCTCTGACCAGCAACAAGAATACATGGGCCATTTCAGCTGCTGCTCTGCAAAACTGACAGATAAAACTTACCAGCATGAGCCTTGAGTATATGTGTTTTCAGGCGGCTATTGTAAGACGACTTGAATGGGCACAATTTGCAACGGAACGGCTTATGGTGTCCGTGATGGGTCTGCATATGACGATCCAGACTTGAAAAGAGAAACACAGAAAAAGGGAAACAAAAAAGAGTAAATAATTTCAACTATTCCTTCAGATGCAAAGCAAAACACTTAACAGCAATAATAAATTAAATATGAGGCAGACCAGAGTCAACTATCCTTTCTCACACTCTGTCTTAAAATTCAATAGGTCTGCTTACAGAATAAAGTAGAATCTAATCTGAGGAAAAGAAGCAGAGCTGACATCAATTCTGTTGTGCATAAAACAAGCCACTTAAATAAACTTATAGCACAAGATTAGTATAAATTAAATTGTACTTGATACAGACCCAAAAGAACCAGTTGAAGAAACAAGAAACAGTCCAGAACAGTGAAAATGTCATTATAGAAATCTTCTCCTGGCAAACATTTTTATAAAAATAGATCTCCTTTTGTCCTGTTGATGGAGGGGGAAGAGTATTTTTGACCAGCTTTAGCGAGGAAGCCTTCTTTGGGTTACAGCAGCAAAAGCAGATTAGAGATCATTCTCTGGGGAGGGTGCCAACAGGCTGCAGTTGATGAGTTCCAGAATTAAAAGGCAGCAGAGTTTCAGAAGTAACAGTGTGGGAGATTCTACAAGAATCTCAACAAGAGATGGAGAAGTGGCAAAGACCAGCCTCCACTTTCTTCAGGGAAAATGGAAGCTACCAACCGCCTGAATACTGGGGGATGATCAGAATCTACTCTCTCCATAGTGTCTTGTCACAGCTCAGTAAAGTTTGGAAGAGAAAAAGGGATGTTTTTCACATTTTCTAACAGAAGATCAAATTCATTCCAATTGAGTCCTTCAGAGCTCTGCTGTTCCTACACTATGGCTGACAGCCATGAATTCAGAGTCTCCAGGTGGCAAGCAGGTAGTTGTAAACATTTCCAGTACAGCCTCTTCTTCAAGATCTAGTATTAGTTTGAATAATATTGTACATGGTGATGGAACAAAAGCAGGAGAGATACAGCACACTGGAGGAGTGGCAGTTTACCAAAACAACCCCCCACCTGACACCTTAATTCCAGATGCATTTCATGCATATTTCCTTTTATTTTCCCTAAATTGTCCTGTTCTTTTTTGCTTGATGTCAATACGTAGATCAAGTGGCAATTGTCCAGCCCTCTCATACTACAAAAGATAGTCATGGGATCTTTAGTCCCACACTGACAAGAGCTTGAGCCAGAAAATACTTGTTTACAAGAGCTAATACTGAAGTCTGTGTATTTAAAGATCCAATGACAGAAAAATAATAAAAAATTATTTTGCAGCTCCTTACAGGGCCACTTCATACAAATACAATTTAATAGACACCTGGGATGGAGTCTGTGGTAAGGTCAGCTGTACAGCTTTTTGAGATATACGAGATAAAAGGTCTCTTAAATAAGTAAGACACTGAACACTTGTAGTGAATACTTCATAGAACAAAACTTATTTTAAATAGCTGAAAAAGCATGAGCTTACTTAAGAATTAAAGCAGAGTGCCAAAGATGTATATTATACATATCAAGCAATTCTAAACGTATACCTTAAGTATTCTACATGATAATAATGAAAACTATATTCAGATCCACATACTATGCCAGGAAAATTCTTCCAAAGGCAGGTTTTAAAGTCTTGTTCAGATGCAGAACAGTGAGCTACTTAAACATTTGGTTCCATTTCTTTCACAGGCTTTACTTCCCAAAGAGTAATTGCATCAGACACAAATACAAAATATGAAGCAGACAACTTCAGCAACAGTGACAACATCTATTATCAAGTTAGGCAATACCCCTAGAGTTCTTCCTTGCAATCCACCACTTTCTGACTTACCCATCCTTCTACCTGCAGGATCTGACTTTATTCACTTCCTAAGTAGGAAATAGTGTCTAGGGACCAAACTTAATGGCAAGTCTGATTTTGGAATCATTTACTAGGCAAGTAGAAGGTTTGTAAGCTATGTGAGGTAGGGACATCCTCAACTGTCAGACCTGCCAAAGGGTGGGATACTCCCAGTACTGGCAATCCTTCTTCCAGTCCCTTTCTTAGTGTTGGCTGCTTAACCCCACTGTCCTTTTCAACAAGGCAGACCAAACTGTGGCATCAATTTCCAATGATGCTACGAAAACCAGCAGGAATCTCACTTCTTAACACAAGGAGTAAAACATGCTTTTTACCGTGCTTTGTCTCCCACATGCCTTTGACTGCAATCCAGTGACATCTTCACCAAATTTACGAGTGCTACTGACAGTGCTATGAATGCCTATATCAAATGAGCACCTGGATCTCTCTTTTATTAAAACAGTAAATAAGATGTTCTCTCCCCACAAAATCAGAAAAAACAATATACCTGTGAGTTAGTCCAAGATGCTAATAGAAAGTATCCCAAAAACTCCATTGGGGGGGGGGGGGGGAGCACGTCATATATATGATTATGATTTAAGTAATTCTTAAAACTACCAATCTTAAGGCAAAGCCAGTCTTGAGGCAACAAATCACAAAAAACATGACCATTCATGATGACTGTGTATTTTCCATGTGCTATATCAGACAAGAAAACAGGCTTAGGGAGTCATTAGTATACTACACTGCTGTGAACTTGAAATATTTGTAGATTGAAATTGCACATCATAATTAAGAAATTTTTACCAAAAAAATCTAATTTTAAGGTAAGTTTATGACAGTTACTTAATATTAGAAATGAAAACTCAATCATCAAAGAGTTACAGTAATTATAAACAAGGTAGTTATGTGCAGCAGAAGTTCTTTAAACATGAAAGATTAACAAGAAAAATACTTTCCTCTTCTTCTTAAAAACTTGTTAAGTCTCATACATTTGACAAGGTTGCATAAGTGGTGGGCTTCACTGTTTGCCTATTGAAAGAGGTCTTACTCTTTTGCTTGCATGCTTTTACCCTACACGCAAAAAAAACAAAAAAACAATGGCTTCAATAAATTCAAGAAGATACAAAGATGCAACCTTTTATAAACAGCCACTCATAATGGCCAAAGATTCTGCAGCATGGAAAATACCTAAATGCTGAGAAAAGTGCTGCTCAAGGTCAAGTTGATTGCTCTCTTCTTCAGTGTCAACCTGCAAAACAGCAGTGCTAGTTTGTACTTCTTCTGAAAACAAAATTAAAACAACTTACTTGTGCCTGAAAGCAGAGACAAAGGAGCAATACTGGCAGCTGTACTTGTCTTCCCGGGTAAACATGGCCAGAGCCAAGTGACTCCTCTCGTGAGATCGAAGACCCTGCATAGACATCAAAACCCGGTCACACTGGCTGCAGTGGTAGCCCCCAGGCCTGGTTTCATCTTCCAAGGATGCTCCAAATTCAGCTTCTGTAAATTCCATAATGCCAGGGTCTTTGGCTCCCTCAAAACCCTCCATCAAAGTTGTGTTTGAAGAATCTTCAGCTTCCTGCTAAAAAACACATACCCCCCCAAAGCCATCAATTCTCTCTCCCTTCTTCCCCTCGGTCTTTTTCCATGTGTTCATTGTAATGCCTAGGTTTCCCACTGCATTATTTTTCTAAATATATCCCTACACAAACTCCACACCAATGGCTTTCTGGAAAAAAAAAAAAAAAAGGTTTACTTTTGGGAGGGAAAAATGTTATTATATCTGCTATATATATACATGCAGATGTAAACAAAAAAAGTCTCACTCCTTGATCAAATCTGAGTCAGATAATGAAAAAATACAAGAAACTGAATAAACTTTCAATAGTCCTGATACAAACCTTGTAAACTTGAACAGATAAACATCAGTAAGGTATAGAGCAAGTTAATTTTAGTTTATTTTGCTCTAGCTTACAGTGTAGCTACTCTATAGACTAATAACTAGTTTACAGTAGACTTTGTCCATCAGTGTCAAACAATAAAAAAGTCAGTACTCTAAGACCCTAGTTTCTCTTTAAAAATAAAAAGCGAACAGAACAAGTCTGTTTTTTACTGTTTTTTCTGACTTTCCTTCCCTTTTCTAACCTGAACATACATTTTCGCAGCAACTTTAACAGCCTACAAGAGTATTTCCATCATATTCTTTTAGCCATGGATTTTGGCTTCTGTTCCCTGCTGCAAAACTATTTACTCAAAAGAATGCATTGACCCTATGTAAGCTTCACTTGAGACGTAAGGAGAAGAGTAAATTGTCTGTTAGGATAGAAGTGTCTGAATCTGTCAGTTGTACTGGGTAAAGTAAAGAAAGGTCAGTGACAGGGCAATAGAAGGTTTCTCAGGTAGGAGAAGTAAAGCCATGAAGGACTTGGCTTCCTCACAACAAGCAGACGCTGTTGCCAAAGAAGCACTTTTAGTCAGGCAACAGGAGCCTTTGCCAAGAGCCCACTGGAATGAGGAGGAACATACAGCTAGCTCTAACAGCCTTGTTGCACTTTCACTATCCCTGCCAATAGCCTGGAAAGAAGGCTGTGGAGAATGGCCTGTCCTTGAGATGTCCTAGAAGTCATTCCCTTCCACAGGGAGAAAAGAACAACAAATGTACATCAGATCACCTGAACAGGACCACTGGCTCAGCTGACCACTGAATGTTTTGTTTGGAGCCAGTGTGCAAATTTCATGTGGAAAGCAACTTCATAAGCAACTCCACACATTTCCATATACACACTTCCCACGCTTCCAAAAGTTGCCCAGAATAGATGAAAGAGAGAAAGCCTCCTGCTCATAAACCAAGTATTTCGGTCATCAACGACATCAACTCCTTTGTGGCTGAGAAGAAATGAGAATTAAATAGTCTTCATTCCCCTGGATCTAGAGTGGAAAAAAGTTAAAACATCTTTAAATAAACCAAATGCACTTCAGAAACTTGGTGTTGAATTAAAACATCATGCTGAATTGGAATACCCAGTTCAAAACCCATTTAACTTCACAAGAGCCCTTCACAGGTTTCCAACAAGCCCTTTATTTTAACAGTGCAAGAACCTGCAGTCACCTTTAGTCACCTTTTTACAATTCTTACCTTTACCGTAGCTGACACAGAAGAGACATTCCCATACTGGACATGCTTGCGGAGGTGATTACAGATAGCTCGAAGTGTTGGATGGACTTCCACACAGAATTTGCATTTGTAGCCAACCACCTTCCTCTCCTTAAGTTTTGAAACCTCTTCCAAGTGTCCAAAAGCCTGTTTGAGGACACAAGCATAAGTCACTGAAGCATGCTTTGCTACCTCATTTTTAGGAACACAGGCCAGGTTTTACACCTGAAGGGAAATTACACTTAACATACGTATGTCCTATTTTGCAGAACTGCAAAGGTTTATTTTTGTTGACATCTTTAAATGCCTCCAAAATAAACACACAAGACACCTGTGCAGTTTCTGCCTAACAGTGATCTCCTAGAAGACCATTCACTTTGACTCGAAACTGCTTTTCCGTGACACCACAACTTCCCCAACAGCTCTGCAGAGCTTTTCTACAGCAAGTATACTTCAAACTGAAGCAGAAGCAGGTAAGCAGGCAAGAAAAAGAGCACATTTTGGTCCTCTGCTTATGAGGCACCTGCCCAAATTTTCAGTCACCAGATAGATTCATGTCATGTTAATACTGAGTACTTAATCAGAGAAACTACTGAGAAAGAGAGAAGATTGAGAAGGCAACTGATGCATTTTTCAGAAGCATGCTGAAGAGGGGAAAGCGACAATTTGCAAAGGATTTGCAACAAAGTACCCACCAGCCTTCCCACAAAAGAACAAGTTAACTGTCTTGATACAGATGGCCTTCCAGAAGGCTGGGAGGAAGGAAAGAAGGTGAAGAAAATACTGAAGGAAGCAGCAGGAAGGAGCAGGGCAGAATCTAAGGAAATGAAGAGGATGGATAAGGAAATTAAAGCAGAATGTGTAATTGACTTATGGAGCTCACTGGCATGCTGAATCATTCATTAGCGTGTGATCTTTTGGCTGTCAAAAAGAACATGCAAGTGGGCAGTAGTGAGCTCCCTGGCAGAGAGCTGGGAGCAGGGAAAGAGACCAGACACACAGATCCTTACCCTTTCTTGTTTGAAATCTGCAAAAGCACCATCTGCATATTTCTGTTTGCTCAAAAGCTGCTTCCTCCTCTCCTGACGTTTGGCACGCTTCTGGAATTCCTCGTTGTGACCATTCAAGTGTGCGGTCAGCTCTGCCGTACTATGCAACTTCATATCACAGTGCTTGCACTGGTAGACAGGGTTCTGGGACCGTGTGCCACTTCCCAGTATGGTAAAGTCCCTCTTCAAATCCTTGCTGTGGTGGTCGGTGTAATGCATGCACAGCAACTCCGCTGTGCTGAAGGACAGCTTGAAACATTTTATGCACCTGAAGGGAAGCCACTCAATTTCCTGAGCCTCAGCCTCCACCTCAGGCTTTTCAAAGTCACTCCTCTCCTCAATTGGGGTTGGCTTTTCATGTTCATCAGCATAGACAGCAGTGAAGTAACCCCCCAGCTTGCTCGCATGCTGCTTCTTAGGGAAGACACCAGGGTGCCGCTTCATGTAGTGGGACACAATACCTTTTTTGCTGAAGGACTGGAAGGAACAAAGTGAGCATTTCTTCTTCTCTACAGCCCTCCTCAGCTCCTCACTTAACTGAGGAGTGTCATCCTTGGGAGGAGATGGAATGATCACTTTATTGGGCTTGTCACTAACTGTCCTGGAGGCTGCTAAGCAGTGAGTGTAGTAAGCATCAATGTCATGTCTTTTCTGGTAGTGTGCTGCAAGCCCTTTGCGGATAGGGTTGGTGTACGAACATAAGGCACATTTGAAGAGGTTGTTTTTGCCCTCTGGCTGTGCCCGGACATTGTTGTGTTTAATGCGGTAGTGCCTAGCTATCCCCTTTCTGGTAGAACAGAAGTATTTGCAGAGCTGACACCGAAAAACTGTGTGAGACACCAAATGAGAACTGGAGAAATGAGGTCCTGACATAGATACTTCTCCAAGATCCTCAGCAGCAATTTCTGGCGAGGCCTTGATTTCAGTCACCAGGTCTGGCTCCACTGAGGCAGATACCTTTGGTGGTGACTGGGCAAAAACATCAAACTCAGGCTGATTGTGGTATTTCTCATAGTGAATTTTCAGCTTCTCAAGTGTTCCATGGGTGTAAGGGCAGAGTTTGCACCGATAAGCACCATAGCCTTGCTTGAAAATCCTACTTGTCTCTTCCACATCATTCTGAGCAATATCAGTTGACTGCTCCACATCATGCACGAAGTCTTCAGCAGTGACCTTTATTGATGGATGTCGTTTCTGGTAGTGTGTGAGAACGCCATGAATACGTGTATTGATGTATGGGCAATGTCTGCATTTATATACAGCCCCTGGGTTAATGTCTATATCCTGAGCAAAGTCTGCAGCTTTCACTTTCATGCCAGGATGCTTTTTGCCGTAATGTGTCAGGAGGCCATGCAAGTTGTTGTACTCAGACTGGCAAACTGTACACTGATATGGAGTGGAGGAGATGGCAGGGTTTGCAGAAGCCAGCTGGACAGTTTTTTCCTGGGAAAGGCTGGGATCCTCTGCACACTCTGCATCCTGATCCATTTGTGATGCTGTTATCTGGTCTTCAGCATCCATCCTGACCCCACCTTCGTCAAGCTGTGGGATGCATTTCTCAGCAGCATCTTTCTCCTTAATGATATCCAACAACACAGATTCATCTCCATTCATGGCCCAAGGGTGAAATGCTTGATAGTGATTAGTAATATCCCAAATGGAAGATGCTTCAAAAATGCAGTCTCTGCATTTATAAGTCTTTATCTCTGTTGGCATCACTAGAGCAGGAGGGGAAGGATCAGGACCTGCCCAGAGTTTAGTTGCCATATATGTATAATCAACATAATGCTCAGGATGTCTCCTTTGGTAATGCACAAGTAAACCACTTGGCTCTGTGTGTGAATAAATGCACCATTCACAGTGATAACCAGCTTCTATCAAGCCATCCAAAAATGCCCATCTCAGAATGGATGTGACTGTGGCCTTCAGAGTCGGGTGGTCTTTCTTAATATGCTTCCTCAGTGCATAGAAGTAAGGTGTTGTGTAGCTACACTGCCTGCATTTGAGGGCTCTCAGCTTTGACTTGTCCCGTTCAGTGCTGGAGGTGTGAGCAGGCACACTGCCAGGTGATTTCTTCTGGCTGCGATCACAAAGGCTTCTTATGGTGGCTGTATGCTGCCTAATCACGTCTGCGTTAGCTTTGAAATCACGGTGCTTCTTTTGGTAATGAATGAGCACGCCTTTCACTGTCCGATTTCCGTAATCACAGTGTTGGCAGAAGAACATTTCATTCTCAGGAGGATTCACAGAGGTCTCAGTTCCACCCCGGCTCAACTGCTGCATTGACATTGGTGGCCTCTGAATACCAGGTGGCAATTCACCAGCCCTCAACATGGCTGCAGTGGGGGGTGCCTGTCTGATATATTTGGCAGTGACCTTTATCTCTGGGTGCCTTTTCTGGTAGTGGACAAGAACCCCTACAACTGAACGGTTGCTGTATGAACAGTGTTTGCAATAGTAGAGTTCAGTAGAGAGGTCTGGTGGTGGTGGTGGAGAACCCAAGTTGGACAATTTTGGGGAAATGGGTGCTCCCAACTCAAAAGACATCTGAGCCAGGGCAGAGCCCCTCTCAACAGAGACTACACGCATAGTCTTCTGAATTCTGAAATATGATGCTTTTTCTTCAGGGTGCTTTTTCTGGTAATGCACCAGAACTGAATGCATGTTAGGGCTTGCAAATGAACACACGTCACAGTCATAAACAACCACACTATTGACTGAAAGTTCCTTCTGGTTTTCACATTCAGGACTAAAACTCTTGGCGGCACTTTTGTTAAAACCAGCTGGCACACCAGCCCCGCGAGCCACGGGGGTGGAAGTTGCCATAGTTTTTGGAGCAGAATTCAAGATCTCCCTCAGTGTCTGAGACTCTGTGTTCAGCCCCTCTTGCTGCTCAACAACATAGCTTGAAAATATCATTGCATTGTTAATTTTCACTGTGGGATGCATTCTTTGGTAATGTGGCATCAGGCTTCTAACATTGGGGCTTGTATAAGAGCAGAAGCGGCACCGGTAGATCAGATCAGAATGATCAAAGTTCAGTACATTCATAGCTTCAGGATGATGCTCTCCATAATGCTGCTGCAGATCTTCAAAATTTGTGTAGTCAATGTAGCACTCAAGACACCGGTACACTGCGCTGTGATCATTGGGATCCAGGATATACCTAAAGCTGAACTTAATATAAGGATGCATTCGCTGGTAGTGGGTGCTAACACTTCTGGCAGATTTGTTGCTGAAATCACAGTGTTTACAGTAGTAAAGTCTGCCAGAGTCATTAAACTCCGAATTCTCATTGTTCTGATCAGTACCATATATGTTTGACTGGCTCCCCAGAACAGAGGCATTAGGGCTCTGATGGTCCTTCATGCTGACAGAAGAGTAATAGTCTTCCTCATCTTCAGATAAAGTGAGCTCAATCTCCGCTCCATTGGTGGAATTGTAGTCATGCTGCATGGTTCTAAAGTTTGTTTCCTTCTGGGAATCATTAGCCTCTCTGCCCCACATTTGTTGGGGTGCATAAGTACTGGAAACATCTACCATTGGTTCTGTTTGTTCTTCTTCTCTGTCTAACTCCACTTCTATCTCCACCTCATTGTCCTCCTCCTCCTCCTCATCATCCTCTACATTAATCACAGCATCTTCTTGCTGTTTGTTTTGGCTGATTTTGCTCTGCAGGTTGCTCGCTATTTCATCGATTCTAGTTCTCTTTTTCACTGGTGAGAGATCTAAAGGGAAGTCATTTGACACCTTCCGCGGGGCTTTCGCCACAAAGTTATTTTTAGATGAGAGACCAAGGATGGAGGTCTGGCTTTTCTTCACTGTGCTGGCAGAGGGGTGAGCATCTGCCTCACTTTCTTGTGGTGTGTTTGATGGCGGCCCGTCATATTTTGGCAAGTTGTCACAGAATGAATGCTTGTGCTGCTGATGAACTCTGAGGCCCTTCAAAGTCGTGGTGGAATAGTTGCACATTGTGCACTTGTATGGATGCTGTGAATGGGGCTGGGGTGATTGCTGTTGTTGCTGTTGCTGCTGTGGCTGCACCGGTTCCATCATCCCGGCTGACTTCCTGCCATTTATATTTCCACTCTCGTAAGACACTGTGCTGTCGTTCAAAGAAGAGGCGATGCTTTCAGTCTGAGAGTTCATAGTGTCCCAGTCTGATGTTGTTCCTGTGTGACACTGCTTGTGGGCACCAAGCTTTAATGAACTCTTGCAGGTGAAAGGGCATTCATCACACTTGTACACAGCTGTCTTACCAGACAGGTGAATATTCTCAATGTGACGGGATATGCTGCGGCGGTGCATCGTCAGGAAAGGGCAAAAAGGACACTGGAACCTGTTCATATACCTTCTAAAGGGAATTCCCTTTGTTTCCAATAGTTTATTGCCATCAGATCCCATCAGCTGCTCTGCAGACATTCCTGAGGTCTGGTGATCCATAGAGTTCAAGCCATTCTCGCTGTCCATTTCATTTAGTTCTTCATCTGAGCTGGAGTCATTCAGCATACTGCTTGTTTCCAGGTCAGCAGAAGAATTTGTCATATCAGCAATTCCATAGCGGGATCTGTCAGATAAATTAACCATGCCCGAGTTGTGAGGTGACTTAGGCTTCATTTGAGGGTAAGACACAGAAGAAAACTTAGAAGATGTAGAAGAGTTGGGCCTGATAAGGGAATTGCCCATAGAGCTCCTGAAGTTTGAGACATTAGCATTCGACATCTCACGTCCTGTTGTATTCATGGACATATAATTAGAGTTTGGGGAGGCATTCTGGGCACTCTTACTCTGTACGTCAGATGCACTGGTTCCATCTTGTTGCTGCCTCAGGCTTGATAGTATTTTTACCATGCTACGGTGCTTCTTCATCATGTGGTCACACCAGCGCTCCCTTCGAGGTGTCTGGTAGCTGCACCATTCACAGCAAAAGTTGCCCCTAGACTTTGTCAGGGGCTTAACCATGGATTCCAAAATGCTCCGCTCCACCACTTCTGCAGGCAGCTCCTTGCAGGGTTCCTGCACTGGCACAGAAGCAGATGTTGATTCAGACACAGCAGCGGCAGCAGCAGGAGGAGTTGAAGCCTCTTTCAGGTTGTTTTTGTGATACATTTTCTGGTGTTTAATAATCCTCGCGCGCCTGGGTGACTTGTAGGTACAGAACTGGCAACTGAAAACTTTGCCAAACCCCTCATGCATCATGATGCTGTAATTTAGGGAACTAGCCGTTGGTGGGCCCACTGAGCTCCCCCCAGCCTGTGCTCCATGAACCTTGCGTGTGTGCTCTATGAGGAGATTTTTGGAACGGAAGTAACGCACACAGAACTTGCACTGGAAAAACTTGTTGGTTGGTTTAGGATTTGGAGCCACGTGCTGACCATAGTAAGTCTGGCTCTGGCTATAGTAACTTCCAGTCCCCATCTGACTTGCTGCATTTTGCCCTAAAATGAGAATTAAGGTATGTATGTTAATAAACTAAACCAAGGAAAAAAGGTTTCTTCTCCACCCACCCTGTATGCGTAAGAATGCAACCACATCCTCAACAGATGATAATTACACTAGCATTCCCTCACTTACTTATGGTGAGATCTACATATCTGGCAATGATCATAAAAATTACTATTATGCATAATTTGTACATATACATGACTGAGGTATATAGTTTGATATAGATAATTTCCAAAATAATCTTCTTGAGGAAAAAATAAACCCAGTACACTAATAAACTTGAAAATTTTGAGGTGGTCCACAGTAATGAAGACCAACCCAAAAATCTGAAAACAAAAAAGCAGTATTAACAACTACATGAAAAGCAGCTGGGAAATAAACCCATCCTCCATGCTTGCATTTATAGAAAAAGCCACGGTCAGAACCAATATGGCTCTGAAGCTAGACATCTGCTTTGCTCATATAGCAACAAAGGTAACATGAGTTTTTCAAACTAAACTAAGACATACTGAAATAAGACACATGTAAAATAGGGAGTCAGAGTTGAGATTGTAAGAGTTGATGTCAGTCTTTGAGTTGAGACTTACCTGCTAGTTCATCTGCGATTGCAAATTCATCCTTTACAGAAGAAAATTCAACTTCAGTCTGGTTGCTAGCATTCATGGAACCAGATCTTGGCTGGTTAGGACTTTCCTCAGAGACATCAGTTGGCTGCAGAAAGGCAGTGTGAACATCCTGAATGTGAGCTTTGAGGTCTTCGTAAGATGGAGCTCGAAAATCACAGCCATCACACTGCAGCACCTCCATGGTTCACGGATGATCTTTTACATTAGAAAATCCTGCAAGAAAAACAGGGAAAGAAGAAGGAGATATATCCTACACCAACGCCATTACAACAAATCCTGAAAATAGGTAATACCAAAGCTATGATGACTCTGTCATTTCCAGAGATTCCGCAAGTACTGTGGTGTAAAACTGAACCTTTACTTACCATATTAAGAGACATAAATTCAGATTCACATGAAGTCCCACCTAGGTAGCTCACAAGTTGCTGACTCAACTCTAGAATCAACTTTCTGACAAGTGGCTATTGATTTAATAGTCTTTGCCCTCTCGGCTTTTCCATTAGAGAGGATATGGCTGTTGTTCAAAATTTTGTGTCATTTAAGACCATAACCCATATGCTACAGAAAGAGCCCACCACTACCAGCCGTATACTGAAATTTACAACCTTATGAGACCAACCCAACCTTCCTGGAAGCTGACAAATCCTGCCTGGTTTACTACCATAGACCAACTGCCTTTACAAGAAGAAACCTGCCTTTCTTCTCAACGTCCTATCAGACCTGATGTTGGTGGAAAGCCTTAGACTTAACAGCAGGGCGAGAGCAGCTACATGAGCCCAAGGTAGCTTTGCTCTGCCCTACTTTCCCCAAGCCTTGTAGGGGCATTTCTATTCATTTTTAAAATGTTTACAATTTCATTTTATTCTGGGGAAACGACCTTAGCAGCCTGGGGGACAGAGAGGGCTGAAGGAAGAAAAAGACAACAATGAGAACAGGAATGCTGAAAAAATACAATGAAAACAGGGGTTATAAAGACTTAGGAGACATCATGACTTCTTTGATTCATCCCACAGCCTTGCATACCTTGAAGAACAAAGCAACACAAGATATGGTAAGGTGAAGTGTGGTGGTTTAGCTTGTGACCAGTGTATGTTTATGCACTGCCATGAAGAAGAGGAGAAACAAAGCACAAGCAAGACAAAAGACTTCGACACTCTTGCACTGTGCACTGTTTAGGTATGAGAGCAACCTTCTTATGTTAATACAAGATTACTTCGTTAAGCTTCTATGTGCTGTTCTCGGAAAGGATGACAAACTGAACATTCAGACTTCCAAGACAAAAGGGCAGCCTAAAGCACACAAAAAAATCCATGTGTTTATTGTACATGGAGTATGAAGCTACTTCCACATCAAGGAGAATGCTCCAAAACATTAGGGCACTGAAGCGAGACAGGCTAATACATCAGGATTTTTATATGAAAGACTGCTTCTTCAGATAGCCTGCTAAAATAAACTTCTAGCAGGTCAAATTCTGGACAGTTTCAGCAGAGGCTCTCCACACATATTTACCTACATTACTTTAGAGGCTGCATTGTGTCCTTTCTCTCCCACCACCAATCAAGAAAATGAGCGCTGCAGAAGCTTCTTTTCAGCTAACAAAGTTACAATAATCGAGATACTTCAGCTTTTACGTGCAAGCACCAGACCAAATTGTGTGGAAGAGGTTGCTATCTGCTCTGGATCAAATTACAGCAGTGAGTGAAGCCCCACCCCACGTCTCCTTTAGCACAGTCCATTAGACCTGAAAACAAATTTTTCCATGGAGCAGACGACTCCTGCATTTAGAGCACTTCACAGAAAAGCAGATCATCCAGTTTTCACTACCCATCCCCCAAGCTTAGTCCTTTCATCTCAGCCAAACAAGCCACAGCTCTGCTGAATGTGTTTATCACACTTTCAAGAGATATGAGCCCCTGCGTCACTGAAGCTTTAAGACTCACTAAGCTGCCCTAGTCCTCTGAGCTTTGGGAGCAGCCATTTTAGCTCAGACAACTCCTGCACTCCGAGGCTCAGAGCTTCTTGCCTGTGCACAACATGGCCTCACTCATCTCAGCTTCATCTCAAGCACACCAGCCTTTTCTTTCTTCCCCACCCCCACCCCCTTTTTCTCATCCTCCTCCTCCATGGGTGATGTTTGAAAAATCAGCATCCCTAGAACACATCTCCCCTTCTCCTGCATGACTTGTCCCCCAGATTGTGTCCCCCTGCACTGCCCAAGCAGCACCTTCTCTCCCTGAGCACATCGCCTGCAACCATCTCCTCGGGTTGGCTCCCCTGTCCCATGGATGACAAATGTGATGGTTTGTTCCAGAAACACAGCATTACAGCATCAAGACACTGGTCCAAGCTGTCCTACAGACAAGAGGCAACACACAGCTGAGCCTCCCAGAAGGAGGGGAAGGGGGAGAGGCAGGCGGGGGGCCTCCCGCCTGCCCTGTCCCTGGAGAGCCCTCCTGCTTGGCGCAGAAGACACACCACCCCACTCCCCTGCCAGATTCCAAAGTCTAATGACCTTTGTTAATCACCAGCCAGCCTGTCTGCATCAGCAAACCCTGCCAGCAGACACACCCTTCACACAAAGGCTGTAGCTATGCCTTTTAAGAGACGTTCTCTGAAAGCTCCATTGTGTAGAAGAGAGGAAAAACAACACACACACACACAAATCTGCTCTTCCCCCCCCTTACACTCCACCCCACCCCCCCGGAAAACTTCAGACCCTTTAGAAACACCACCGCAAAATGCTTTCAGCCCTGTCCCTTTTGGAAACTTCAGGCCAGCTTGCAAAGTAGGAACCCAGGAGGGAGAGCAAACTTGAGGTTCTGAACGAAGATAATCCTGGCAGCTTCAAGAGCTGCCAGGATTATCAACCACCACCATCACTATCTCCAGCAGTCATGATACCTTCTCCAAGCATCAGTGTATCTCAAAGATACTGGACACTGGCTAGACAACCTTAAACCAATAGTACCCTTCTGCTACAAATCAGAAGGAAGAATTAAAAGATCATTAATAGCTGCTGATTACAAAAACTGATGGAGACTTTCTAGTGGGTTCCAGTTTGAATACCACAGCAGGGTCTAAATCACAAAGGCAGCAGTATATCAGAGAAGAGGTTAATCTTACTGCAGCTATGAGGAACAAGCATCAGGTACAGCTGAGTGGACTTCAATTGGATGTTTTCACCATGCATTACACTGAAAACAGGATGAAGCATTCTGCAAAGAATTCTGCTTTACCATTTCCACATTTATTTTTTTTTAATTTAGGCATTGGACAGAGGTGGAGAAAAGCAAACTGCTACTTTGAGCTCAAATACATATATATAGCTAATACAAACAAAAACAAATAAATAAAAATCACCACCAACCAACCACACAAAACCCCTGAAACACAATATACGTCTTCCTTCTTTTTGGTCTGCATGGTACACAAAACAAGAGAGACCCACCTACCCAGCAGGAAAGATCATTTAGAGTGCAGATGTTAGCACGCTGGCAAGAAACACACGCCAAGCAAAGAAGACAATTTGCACGTTTCCATCATGACCAGCTAAGACAGCACATTCCCTAATCCTTCAAAATTTCGAACAGCACAATAAGAAAATTTAGAGGAGAATGGCGGTGGAGTGAGAGTTACCAAATCCACCAACTCAACAGCAGAACAGGAAGTCTGGAGGAAAAAAAAAAAGGGAAAAAAACCCAACAAAGCAAGCAAGCAAACAAACAAACAAACAAAAAAACACCCTAACCACCACGAAATGAATCTATAAATCCCACAAGCTCTTTAACATACTCGCAATCAATCTCTTGAGACCACATTGCCTACAGATAATGTGGCTTCTAAAACACCCTTACTAATGGGATGCTAACCTCACCAAACAGATTATTAAAATGCCATTGTCTGACTAATTTGCATTTACAACCTCTGCTTAAAAGATATGGTTTTCATGTTTAATATGGATGTATTCTTGTTTTTCTTTGAGCAGAAAGTTTCCAAAATGCTGGGCAAAAGTGATTCTCAAAGCCACAGTTTTAAAAACCCAAGGTGAAGTCTAAAATTATATTTGACATCCTCTTCTACACTCATAAATGCATGAGAACATCAGATACACAGTTGCATTAGATTTCTAGGGTTTTAAAAATCCAAAACAAAAGATAATTATGCTTGTTGAACAACAGTCATTACAGGACTTGGCAGCAGTCAAAGTAGTACAAATCATTATGTTTAAGTTTGGTTTTAAAGCTTCAAAATACACAATTAATTGTGAAGCCCAAGGCACTGACCTCAAAATTGAGCTTCTGTGGTTTGACTACCCATCCGTTATACTTTGAGATGGAGTCAGCAGAGCTTCTAGAAGTTAAGAATATGCACATGCACAACCACAACTGAAAAGGTCAGTCAGACCACACACAGTATGTGAACTTCCAGCTTAGTATTACTAACACTGTAAAACAAAGAAATCACTACCTCTGAACGCCTTCCTCTGGTCACATGATCAGAGGCATCCTCATACACACCCCCTGCCTCATACACACAGGCTGCATACACAGCTTTCATTTTACTCTACGCCAAGGTGGAGCTGAAAGAAGTTTCTTCATAGACAGTTATCAAGCACTAGAACAGGTTGCCTGGGGAAGCGGTTGAGTCACCATACCTGGAGGCATTTAAAAGATGAGGTGTAAATATGGCAGTTAGGCACATGGTTAGCGGTGCACCTGGCAGTGGTTAGGTTTATGGTTGGACTCGATCTTAAAGGTCTTTTCCAACAGAAAAGATTCTATGATTCCATGACTCTGTGATGTTACACACCCCACCACACCAGCAGAAACACTGCCAAGCCCCTATCAAGCTGGACTAAGTCCTCCTGGAGATGCAGCATGTGTCAGGCCCCTGAGGGCACCTACAGCCTCCCTCTTCCTCAACAGCCCTCCTGGGGCTCCCCCACAGTCCAGGACACCATTTCACCCACTGGCACCATCAGACCCCACCCAGCACTGCCAGCCTGACCAGGGCTGTGCTGAGCCAGATTCATGGCCTAGAGTGTGCCCAGTGAGGTTCCCGGTGCCTGGGGCTAAACCTGTCCCTGGGCCTGCTGGGGCTGTGGGATGGTCCCAGGCTGCCAGGCCCTTACCTCCCTCTTCATGGGCAGCCTGGTCAGCTCCCACATAGCATGCTGGGTCAAAGCAGATCAGCATGAACAAAATGTCTTAGCA